GAGCAGCGAAACAAGCAAACACATTTTATTTAAGGCCGCTAAAAATCAGTGCGATAGCATTTGCGGATTGAGAGGAGTCGCAGCCAGAAGCTTCTTCAAGGGCTTTTCTTGTTCTCGGTTCAGCATCGAGCTCACATTTATTTACAGGAATAATACACAGTACAATAACAAGCAAAAGGTTAAGATAAAGAATGAGAGCATGAAAGAGTGTATATCCATTTTGATGGGGGAAAAATATATTTATGAAAGGGCCGACTATACAAACAGAAGTGTTTACACACTCAGAGGTGAGAAAAACACTTTCATGTTTTATGTTCGGGGACGGCGGCACCACCGCCTACTGCGGAGGAGACACTGTATAAATACACCTGAACAGTTTTACAAGGCTGTGTTGGAGAACAAGAACGCGCGGCGGCAGCGAGACGCGGTCTAGTAAATATCCTCGGCGAGCAATGGCACCGGAAGACCCTCCCAAAGCAATAAGAAAGCCCACCGCTGAATAGTTAGATGAAGGGGATCGTAGTAACAAGCACTGTTGGGATTACAGGCAAAGGCGAAGCAAAGACTGGGCTTACTCTGATGTGTTTTAACAAGAGAGGAAGGAAAGGGAGGAAAGTAGCAGAGTGAGTTTGGAGGAAACAGAATACAGACATCATTTTAACATCAGCATCTGATAAAGACCACGCTGCCCCTCTAAAGTGGAAAATACACAGTTCGATACTCTTAAGAGCAAATGCAAGACTAATAGCAATGCCATTTTGCCAGAGAAAAGTGAAAGTTTAGAAAACACAACCCGCTGCAGTCCATCGAGGGCCACTATTGGCGGAGTAATTGGTACCTCTGGGTCATCTACGAGGCTCCTGTACCTGTATAGAACATGTGAGTGTAAGATGGTGAGTGTAGACAGAAGCCCTGATACTGGTGGGGGGTGGAGGGCGATACAAATCAGATGCTTACCTTTGATGCTACAGATTTTTTGCAGTGTCATAATTTGCACGCTGATCAACGGAAACAAGAACAAGGCACCGGTCGAACAAATAAATAAACCCAGAAATCAAAGGGAATTGCAAACAGGCCTTTTTCTTTTCTTTTCCTCCACAGCAGACGTTTTTGATGAGTCACAGCAGGAGGGGGGGGAACAGGTGGAACGAATCACATTAATGGTGTCTTTTCCGTCGAGGTGTCCCGCTAAGCCACTGGCATCGAGTCAGCGTGCACGATATCAGGACCCCGGAACTGGCACACTTGAATGGAATGCAGCCATTATTAATGTTATTAGTTACACCTGTGCTTTCCCTGCTGTGACAGTCAGAATATCTTCCCCTGCAAAAAAAATAAAAAAGCCTCCAGACCTCCAGAAGAGGCACAGTTATACAGAGTCACAAAGAAGTAGAAGTGTGCGCTACAGACTAAAAGATCGAACAGAGTTCTCTAGAGAGTGATCAAGGGTCTGTGTCCTGGAACATCCTGCTCCAGGCCTTGGCAGTTAAAGAAGTAAAAGAAGTGCTTTATCTGTGTCGCAACAGACACACAGATATATATATATATATATATATACACGTTTTATTCTTAATGCATAGAACATGTGAATATACAATAAGTACTGGTTATCCAAGACAAAGAAGAAGAGGACATGTGTGCAGGCAGTCAGCTGCATGGATCACAAGTTAAGTGATGCAAGCTTATGATGGTTTATAGTTATAAAACAGTTCTACTGATAATATAAAATACTCAGAAGAATATAATATGTCCATTACCCAACAGCAAGATACATTACACGTATGTTAACACAAAGGATGAAGGTCTATGAGTTCAGAGCAAAAGTACAAGCACTTAAGCATTTACACAATATACTTAAGTAGAAATATATACTAAATAGAAATGTTCCATTACAGGGGTTATAGTGTGCTCTTGATGGAAACTAAGAATAGCATGCACAAAGGAAAGAGAGAAGCTGCTCACACAAAGAAAACAGTACACTGTAGCACGAGTGTAGCCAACCACTTGCTGCAGGTTTCCATTGCAGCCAAGGCCCCGCTAATTAGCACTCCGTCAGGTAGAAAGGAAGAGCTCATCAGCTCAGTCACCCGCTGAGGAGATCTGCTGGAATGAAAACCTGCAGATTTTTTGGCTCTCCATGGCATATGGTGCCCCCCCGTGACGGTACACATCCCCGTGTGGTGTCAGTCTGTAACGGGCATTGTCCCATCAGTACAAAGTCACCTTGCTTCTGAGTGGCACCCTATGAAGAGCCACGTGGACTTTACTTGTGACCGACACACGTAGCATCTCCTCAGAGTCCGGTGGGCTAAATCGAAAAAAAACTCAAAATAAATAAAGACTAAATAGTTTTAGCATATGATGGAGCTGTCGTATTGTGAAAAACACAGCTGCAAGCTATTACAAATTAATTCTAGCTAAGTTTGATTACGTTTACATGGTCAGTATGATCTTCTTTAAGCCACTGCCATCATTACAAAGTATGTCTCACATTTTGTCCAAGTAAAAATAAAGTTAGAAGAAAAGTTAAAGTTGCAGAAATGGAAAAAGCAAGAGTTGAATTAAGGGATGAAGTCTTTATTTTTTTTCCGGTTTAAAAGACCCTGTGAAATGTTAGATGTAAGTACATGAGATTTTATCTTATCTGCGGCTTTGTTGAAGAGAGATTTTGTCTTTCACTTCGGCATATATACGAAAGAGCCATTCATGATATTACATTCTTTCTTATGGGACAGCTTGTTCACTCATCTTCTACCTAACTTTCAGCCAGAAGTGCATATAGTCCACATTCTCTTTATTAGTGTGGATAAAATCTTGCTTTCATGAGACAACCCTCTGGTCATAAAGTTATCCGCCATAACAAGATAGTTGGACAGTCATTCCTTTTTTTCTTCTCTGTCTCTCTCTCACTGTGGGAGCTCTTGCTGCATCCTTGAGTACGCTGTGCCAACGTCTGTGTCAAGTGCAGAGGAGAGGAAATGCAGTGACGTCACTTTCAATCAATGCTCGCTGCTTTTTACAGTGGGGGGACTTTACTCAGTTGGACGTCAAGTGCAGTGAAGCGATTTTTTGGGCTTTGGAAAAATAGCCGACTCTCTGGGCAGTTCACTTACTGAGCTGCACAATGGACCACTTCACTTCTTGTACGTATTGTAGATTCCCTGGGACCGTTTTCTTTGTTGGAAAGTAGTTCCAATGGAAACTGTTAACAGAGGGGCCTGCAGATAATTCAGTGTAACCGAGACGGGCTGGTTTTATTTTTTTTATTGCTTTCTGTAAGCACAACAAAAATAGTGTGCGACTCTGCTGTAATGGACTGACCCCTTTCATAGCCGATCACATCCAGTTTAATGCTACACGGCTGACATCTACTCTACAGTCATTACAAATCCACGCTCTGCAGCCAAGCGTCGCTCAAACCCAGATCACTTTAGTATACGAATTCTAGCGGAGATCTCGACGTTTATAAATGTACCAAATATGTGAGGCTAATATCTGGGGAGTTGTTTGTAAAATGATGGACAAGATATCTTTGAATATTTCCATTTGATGGAATAGTGCAGCCAGAACAAGGTGGCACCTTTAACTACTTAACTCTGTAAATACAGTGGTTTTAATGGAGAGTTGGAACAAGCCAATAAAGAATATATGATGCTGTCAGACAGTAGAATAACCTAAAACCTAAAAGGGGAAATCAAATACGTTTTTTGGGGGAAGTACCATACGTGGAGAAAGTTGTATACAGCCCTCAGCGGCTCACTGCACGACATCTGTTTAAGGACCTCGAGTGATGTCACCTGAGTCAGATTCGAAGATTGCAACTTTAAAAAAGAAAGAAAGAAGCACAACACGCCTGAATCTCCTGACTCCAACTGTGGGCAATGTAGGCGCAAGGCTTTTCACAAAGAAGAAGAATGCACGCAAAGAAAAAGACGAGATCTGTGGCTCCGCTGCATCAGTTCCACAAAGCTGAATCAGTGTAGTACTCTTTTAAAGTGACTTAAGGAGAGCTAAACAGGGGGTAAAGTGGATTTCAAGGGGTGAAACTAAGCTGCGATAGGAGTGCCGTTTGAAAGGAGAGGAGGAGGGCGAAACAGTCACCTCACAACATTAAGTTATGATTTGGATTAGCATCCCATTTCGCACAACTGTACATCCAGATGGGGGAGCATCGAGTGGGAGGGCGGAGGGGAGAAATGGGACAGATTGTAGCCTGCACCATTTGCATCTGAGCAAGAAATGCAGTGGTAGTATAGCAGAGAGTCACTTGGACTGGAGGCGAACCACAGTCAGCTGCAGTGCAGGTAATCCTGAATGTGTGAAACATGCGCCTTGAGGAATGAATAATGGAGGGCGGTTGTGGCTCAGTCGCTGGCGCTCACTGGCAAAAGCCTGAATCAAAGGGGGAAAGCCTCATACCTGAGATCTGAAATAGAGTGAGAAACAGGAAGGGCCTCCAGCATTTACACCTGGAGAGTCCTGCTTCAATAAAGCACTCATCTTACCACGTGACCTATATGATAAGAGGTCACGGGGCAGAGTAGCAGGTGCCACGCTGTCTTTGTGCCCACGGAGAAAGAGCCGAGGCTGCCGTCAGCGCTGAGTGCTGGTGCATGGTGGTGGTGGTGGGGGGGGGGGCGCTGCAGTGAGAGGTCTTGGAGGGGCACTGGGGAGAGAGTGCACCATTCAACTGAATCGTCAGGGCCATCGATGTAATGAGAGCGGATCGGTCCTGAGCATAGGAAGGCAAGCAGGGGGAGAGGGGAAGAAGGAGTGGGTGAAATGGGCAGGTGGGGGGTTGGGGGGGGAAGTAGAGAGTGAAGGAGGGGAGGGTGGATGGTGGAAAGCAGTTGGGCAGGGAGATAATGGGATACTGAGTATAGCATGGGAGGATAAGGAAAAGTTGCTGATGGAGGGATACGAACTTAAAGATGGTAAACGGATAAAAGCTGTGGCAGGAAAAAATGGGGAATGGCGGGAAATGGGGACTCGGCTCGGCAAATAAACATTAAAAAATTTTTTTACACCGCAGTGCTTACATGAAAGACATCAGAGGCTGAATTACACAAAGGAGGGCAACCGCTGGGCACTCAAGGCTTTGGCACTCAAGCTGTCAAGAAAAAGACATGCAACACAATAGGGCATGGGAGAAGAAAAGGATGACTAGATACTAGGGCACACCGAGAGAGATGCAGTTGTCGAAAAAGAAAAGAACAATTCACCTCCAATGTCTTTGTGCCGCAACAAGTAACCACATCGACCGGCGACGACGTCTCTTGATTTTACAATGCCGATTCATAGCAGAGTCCTGATGTCTAATTAAACTGCCATTTCCATGATTTAGTCCATTAGCTTCTCCTTCTCGCAAACACCATCAACTCAGTCATTCCCACCGCGGTGACAACCTGGGCTATTGTTTGCGATCAGAGAAGCTGAACTTCCGAAAGGGGTCATTACTCATTTCTGGCATTTGTCTCGGCTCCGGAAGAGAAAGTCATAAATTATTTCTCTCACACACGATCCCATTGTCAGCGCTGCGTGTCAATCACTTTCGAAAGCAACTCCCAGGCCCCCCCGCTTCAGTTCCGTCACGTCCGGCCCTGGCGGATGATCCATCAGCGGGCGATCGTCCGGTTTGGACGGGCCCCCTCTGTTATTACCCTCACGTCTTGGGCCCGCAGCTGAATTACAATTGCAGAGTGGGTAAAGAGCCAGGAAGCTGAGAGGGCTGAGCCTGGATAACGAGCTCTGGGGTGGGTAATTAATGCCTCTCATCTCCCCGTTGGTATCGTCGGGGGGGGATGTGGCATTGATCGGAGTGGGATCAGGCCGGAGGGGAAGTGGGCAATGGGCCGAGGGCACTAAAGGGGGGATTAAGTCAAAATGTAAAGCAGAAAAAGAAAGGGATGGATGGATGGAGAGGTGAGAGAAAGAGAGAAAAAAAAAGGAGAAAAGGGGGGGATGGGGGGGCTTTAAGCCAGGCTAAAGAGTTGTCCCTCTTGAGATGGGTCTTCCGCTGGGGTTCGGCTACTCTGTCAAAAAGCCTGCAGCTCTGAGTGACACTTCAAACCAATGCAGTGTTGTACTCTTCTGTCAGAATTGTAAAGCAGAGGCATCCAGGAGGGAAAATAACGTGGAATCCAAAGCTGCATTTCATCAAGTAGACGCACTCTCCTACTTGTCAACGATTTATGAATATGACAACCTCCACAACCCACGATTTGAATTTTCCACAAATAACATTGTAGAAGGTTATAGAGGCCAAGCAAAAAATCTCAATAAAACACGATGTGAAATAAGAAAACAGAAGCCGAGTATATATACTGTGCAAGGTCAGTCAAAAGAAAAACACCAGCCCGTAAATGGTGTGTCACCTAAACAAATGTAAGAGCTCACATAACCAGAACTGAACTGCCAATAAAATAGCAAGTCGGAAGTCGGAAGGGGGGAAAAAAGCCGATTGATACCGCGAAAACAACGGAATCCGCAATTCACTTCTCTCCACCCCGAGGGACTCAGTCGCCACGTGTTGAAGGACACAGTGCAATATAGAAGGAAAACAAAATAGAAAAAAAGCCAGGAGCCACATGGGAGTAAGTGGAGTGACCGTGGCAGCCACCATCGCTCTTGCTGCCACGTCTTTAGCTCTGGTCTCCCTGACCCTGTCCGTGTTTGCCTAGGAGGCCAGGCCTGGCGCCTGTTGACGATAAAACAAACAGACAGGCCCCATTTATACAGTCAGGTGTCATGACTAGGGATAAACAGTTGGCCGCTTCGGGCCTCTCGAGGCACAGTCTGCGTTAATGGTATAGGGGCTATCATCATCCTCAGCCCTCATGATCATCATCATCAAGAGCAAGCAATAGCGGTTGGCAGAAGCTCCAAGGTGCCTGCTGGGAAGCGGACGAGCACCGACTCAGATTGGACAAAAACTCGAGGGCCGCGCTGCTTACTTTGCCGGGCTGTGTTCATTCGTGTCACTGAATTGATCAAGTCAAAAAAAAAGAAAAGGCAATTGCCCATAAACATTGCTGGATAAAAGGGGGGGGGGGGGGGGAGAACAAATAAATAAAGGAACAGTCATGATTAGAGCAGAGGCGGCGGTGGCGAGCACGCGGCGGGAATGACAAGAGTGTTGCTGTCATCGCCAGGGATGAAAAACAGCTCCTCTCTGACGAGGCAGCGGCGAGGAAGGGGCTGCGCGTGGACCACAAACGCAATTATCTTCGCGCCGGCTTTGTTGTTTGTCAGAACCGGCGCGCGTTTAAGGACTTGGGTGTACTGATTATGTGACACCCGGAGAGCCGTTGGGGGTGGACAACAGGCAGCCAGAAGGGAGTCATTACCCAAACCAAATAGACTTCTCATTTGGGGTTTTTCTGTCGGGGTAAAGAATCAACAGAAATAAACAACGGCTGATAGATACTCAATCAGCAAAAGCCTTGCTGTGGGTGATTTTTTTTTTTCCAATTACAAAGTCCTTTGCATCAAAGCTTGGGAAGTAGCGGCTCATATGCGAGGTGTGTGTGTGTGAATCCCTGAAGCGTTGTCTGGGCACCCTTAGGACTGTGTTCAGATATGATCTGGTGTCTAGGACTGAAAAACACATTTGACCACCTGACAGATGGCATTATGTGGGCACAGGGGGTATTTTCTGACAGTGTCAAATTCATCGCGCTGGCACCTATCAATATCGCCAGCTGGTCTTTCTTCATAGCCTTCCGTCTAATTTAGGCGGGAAAAAACAAACGCAAATACAAAGCTATTTTTCTTAATTTTTGTCATGCCTCCTCAGGGTGTAACCATCCTGCCCTGTGTAAGTGTAAAGTTTTTCGTGAAAAGTATTCTGAAAGGCGGTACTTACCAGCAGCTATACCTGTTGACAACCCGCAATCTCCGTGCCAGACTTGGACGAACCCCCGACACACTGGACTGCTGTCTGCGGGTCCGACGCCACGGTCACACTCGCAGACATGATGGGTGAGTCCAAACACGGTGAGAAACCACGGGGGGTGCTTCCTACACACACATGACCAGACAGGCAGACAGGGCAGGCGGGAACATCCACACCAGTGAAGACCGGTTTGTAAATGTAAATCAATAAACAGTAACGCTAAGAGTTCAGAAGGCTTCCAACGACCTAACTCGCACCCTGAACTCAAGTGTTTACACGCATATATAATGTATATAATACTATACTATATATAGATCCACTAGATGAAAAAAAAAGTCAGGGGATCAACAAAGTCTGTAGGATTCTTCCTCTGGGGACCATGAACATCTGTGCAGAAACAACGGCAACCCATCCCATAGTTAAGATATTTCAGATCGACACTGCCGTCCATGGCTAGCATGGCTAAAAAATGACTGTGGAGGTAAAAAAATAAATAAAAAAGAGACCATGAGAAGTTCAAAAGCTTTCTCCTCTTCACACACATGGGCATGTTACAAAAATTGTTGCCTCTCCGATTACAGAAACGTGTTTGAAGTGGGTTTCTGGCGCCGTTCGGCAATCTGATAAGTATTTCATTTGAAGAGTACCGGCACCTTTGACCCAGTGTAAGAAACACAAATAAGAAATTAGCTCCCCATGTTCCCCCCTCGCATCCTCCGATGCCTCTCTCTTCTCGTTGTCCCGGGAGCTAGACCCCAACACAAAGGAGGCAAGCTGTCAGCAGTCGGAGCAACAACTTGCCCCAAAAAAAGGTCAAGGCGGCAATATGCCTTTCTTTTAAAGTGATCACTTTGTGTCTGCATTTCTGTAACGTGTTGTATGAAGTTGATTACTGTGCGAAGCCAAGTCTCCAGACAAACCGAGGCGATTTAGTAGATGTGAGGGATCATCCATCTTGTACAGTAGCCGTTTAGTTGGGATGCTCATGAGTAATGTGCTGGTTGAACAAGTGGCGCAAATAGTACACTGGAATAAAAATAGTAACACACGTTCCTCTATGCTTTTGCTCAAATAGCATCTCTCTGCAATTATAGAGTAAAACTGCAGCCTCTTAACACTGGCTATTCTTTATCAAGGTAAGAGTTCCTAAACTTAAATGACAATATGTTGAATATTTAACAGTGCTGCAGGAACTAGCCTTCATCCACTTTTCTGAGGATATAATTTAAAGTCATATCCACTCAGTTTGTGAAAAAAAATTAATAAATCCTTCCTTCAACCCCTAAGAACAGTTTAGAGGTTAAGTCTTCTACAAAATGTGAAAAAGCATATCTCCATGTGCGCATGCGTGGTCGCTCTGCCAGTCTCTGCTATTGACGGAGCTATTTCCATCACTTCATTCACTAAGAGCAGCATCGCAGACGAGACCCGCTCATTTCCATTTATCGAAATCCCATTTCTCCTCCGTCTGCAGACTGGTCACCTGTGAAACTAGTTTTTAACCATGATTTGAAAGTGCACTGGCTTTTCAGATGTCTACCCCGTCCCCTTCATTAGTGTTTATTCCCGACCATAAAAAGCGCTGGAGGGGCACGCACTGCCAGCGCAGGTCGTTACATTGTAAAACACTGTGGCGGGGCGCACACGGCACTGTGCATCGAGAGTGTCTCGGGGAGGAATTAAAGAATAAACTCCCCACACTTCCAATTAAAAGGACGTGCTCCTGCAACGTGAGCGGAGGAAGGGAGCATTATCAATGAGGGGAAGAAAACACACCGTTACAACTCAGGAGGCACAATTACTGAGGCTGGCAGTATGCAATTAAATAGTGCTATTTAGACGGCGCTACTCCGCGCTAATAAACGCAGAACATATAGAGGAGACAAAAATAAATAAATAAAACAGGCTTCGGGGGTACCTCCCAATGCCAACAGCTGGGGGAACAGATGACTAAAATGTAAACACAAACGGTGGCATATAGGACTACTTCAAAGGAAAACGAGGCGATAAGACTGTGCATTTACATAAAAGGGTACATTCTGAGGATTACTATTCACCATCTTGAAACCTGAAAAAAAAAAAAAAGGTGGAATAACAAAAACACTGCTCTTTGAGAAAAAATAAAAAATAAAAATAAAATTAAAAATAACGAACATCACAGGTTTTATTGTTGAAGATGAGTTTAGAGTAGGATTCAAATTAAAATGTATGTGAGCGAGCACCACATTACTCCCACTCTGTATCAAAGCGTGTCGGGCCCTTTAAAGCATACTGTGCAGGGCGAGCGGCGCTCGCTGGAATTGTTAAAAATGTAGAATATGAAGCTTTAAGCTAGTGACAAGTAATGCAAGTGGAAAACGGGCAGATGAGTCTTTTTGTTTTTTTATTCATGTGTCAAACCCTACTGACATTTCAGAACATGCTAAACATTAGTATAAACTCCTGACCCTCCCCATTCTGCTCCCACTTCCTGGTCCCCGCTGTGCTCTTGATTCACGCGACTACACCTGACCCTTGTACTGCTGGTGCAGCATGAGCACATCTTCCTGGGAGACTCTGGTCCATCCCTCGCTGTGGACGTGGTACAGGTTGACCTGCCCTCCGCTGTAGGCATCGCGGAACGTGGCCTGATAGATGGCGCGGCGGCCGAGCTCGCAGGCCTCCTCCACCGTCAGGTCCTGCCGCAGGCCGCTGTCGATCACGCCGTAGGCGTACATGGAGCCGGAGCCCACAGCGAACAGGTCGCCGCACACCCGGTTGCCCTCAGAGTCGACGTAGTACAGCCCTGGGGATGGAGGACAAAAAGGCGGGTTAAAAGGAGGGTGGGGGAGGCAAAAAGGGAGCTGGGAGGAAAACGGTGTTAAGGGGAGCAGCGACCTCCTGACTCAGGTGTTGAACTTTTTGTCAGGAAAGCTGAGACGGTGCATATCTAACACCACTGCTCTCGCACAAAACACTCTCTCACACAAAACGCTCTCTCACACACACACACACACACACACACACACACACACACACACACACACACACACACCCTCAAGAGAGAGAATATGAACAGCTGCAACCTCTCTGAGTGAAGTAAAGCTGGCAGATATGAACAGCTGCATCCTCTTCCAAAAAAAATAAAACAAAACCGAAGCCGGCCACAGAAACCTGCTGACGAGGCACGGGCCACATCGCTGCCCCGGGGGCCCTGCTCCGGGTCTTATTGATCCCCGCAAACAGGCCAAAAATTAACTATCGACCCGCAACCCAGAGCTGCACAGGTAACTGCGCCTCGCACCTCATAAGGGAGGACAGGAGATAAAAGAAAAAAAAATAAAATAGTGTGCTCACATCTTGACGACATAAGACGAGTACAGCACATTCATATCCTTCCACACACACTAGAATTTCAGACATTTTCCTTTAACTTCTTGGCGTACACACACTTGAATGACACATGCTCACACACGCACGCACATGCACACGCACGCACATGCACACGCAAGCCAACGTGCACCGCAAGACCCACAACGCCCCGATGGACCCGTGAGTGACAGTTTGCTCCACGCTTTGTGGACACGCGCGTGGACATTTTGTTCCGCAACCATGACACACTCGCTCGGGCCTGATCCCAGAGTGACGTGGAACGGGTGACTAGCCAGCACCAGCCTGTGCGCTCGCCCACGGCCAGTCCCGCAGATGGTTTAAAAAAAAAAAAAAAAAAAAAAAAAGGCATGTTTCTCACAGCGCTTCACAAAGCGAAAAACCTGTGAAAATGAGACCCGCTCCGAGAAACGCAGCGACACATGCATATGAAATTGCCTAATATCCAGCGTCGTCGCTCATCTCCCACATTAAAAAACACTCCAAAATGCCCTCGGATTGCACACGCTCGCTTGCCGAGTTCCTCGGCTAAACTAGTGACAGTCTATTAGGGATGGAGAGCCACTTGCTTTTCTGGGAGAAAAAAATAAAAAAGGGAGCTTACCATTGCTTTCAACTGGCAAATTGCAGCTTCCTCAACCTATCGTTAGCTTGCCATGGTAATCATGCCGTGCCTGTCTATGCATGGGGGTAATTTGCCAGTCTGAGATCCGTCTGTTCCTCTCGAAAAACTGTAAGGGACTCGTTAAAAACATAATAGGCAGGGAGAAGAGGGTTGTAAAGGCGGCCTCTCGTGTTGAGTGGCACGGTTTGACGGAGGTGGATGAGGACTCTTTAGGAGGTCCAAGTATAGCTGCGGAGCGGCACCAGAAAAACACTTCCCACATCCATTTCCTTTCCAAAACACACCTGGGTCTTTGTAGAGCCCCTGCGCTATCGCTTAATGGTCTCTGCGCCTCAAACTCTGCCGTAGAAAGGCACGCAGGCAGAGATGTGTGTGGGGGGGGATTCATGAGCCCCACTTAAAGCGGAGGGCACGTACGGTGGAGCATTGCAGCGGTGGCGGCCAACAGAGACTCCTTCCACTCCGTCAGTCCACTGACAGGTGCTTAAGGAGCCTTGCAGCCGGCTGGACTGACAGCTTTTAGAGGAGCACAGTGCAATGGTGGATGGATCAAATGGGTCAGTGTCTGTCCTTCCCACTACAATTCACCACTGGATGAGTAAAAAAATAAATAAATAAATAAATATGAAGCGCACCAGGCAACTAGGAGGGGGGGGGGGGGGGGCAATATTACATCACTCTCCTGGGAGAGGCGGTAAAACTGACACATGGTCTCATATCACACTGTTCTGCACCTTTTTGTCATGGGGGCTGCATTCCATTTAGTCACATATATCACCTTCTTGCAAACCCTTCATGTCCTTGTAGGTAGCAGGGGGGGGGGGGGGTCCACTGAGTTATCAAGCATTAACTGTACACCGATTTCAAGTGTCATAACATTTGAGGTTGTTGCGTGGAGCCGTATTTGACAAGCTCCTCGACGCAGCTTTTTATTCGATTTGTTTTGCGTGCGGCTTAAGACATTCCATCGAGGGAATAAGTGCTCTTGACATGATTGTAGCCGGCTAATGAGCTTCCCGCCCAATCGAGATTGATTTCATTTACCTCTCCGTTCAGTCATTGGCATTCTGGGGGGGAACACACACACACCTATTGAACCTATACGGGGATCATTATTTCCTCAATTGATTGCTCGGGGTTTAACGCCATGTCGTTTGCTGGCACACAGGCGGGGCCGACATTGTTCACACGGTCCTCTCTGCTCCCCGGACAAAGCCGGCATCGACCGCGGCGGGTGTACGGGCATTATGCATGTGACCCAATTGTCCGGGGCTGGGACCCGACGTCCATCATACCGCCACGTTCTGGCTGGCCCGCAGTCCCCGGCTTCATTGATTTCCCATTACTGTGTCAGTGTGGCGGCCTCTTTAAGCACACCTTCTGTGATGTACGGCCCTCACGCTGTGTGGCATCCAAAAGCCACAGCTCGAGGTACAAAAGAGGGGCAGAGCATACCGAGAGACCGCAGCGCCATCTAGTGGGGAGGTCTGGGAACTACACGCGCTTACACTTAAACAGGAAAAACGCATGTATTGAAGGTTCTGTGCATAAAAGGATCATACATTTCATGGCTGACAAGAAAAACTTGACAAAGTCCTTAAAATGATTATGTGTGGATAGTCAGTTGTTATACATCAAGATGAACTGATTTTCCTGCACCGCAACAAAAGAACAAATTTTATT